ACTCGGTTCATTTAGTAAGCCTGAAAAACACTGGAGACTTGTATATTTTTTTCAATTCATAATTTGGACTTGAGTCTTGAAAGAGAATTGTGTATTTGCAATCCAATGGCCTGAAAACACTGAGTTAAAAAAATGTAAGGTTCAGGGGAACTCATTTCGTGACTCGAATATTGCCTAGATCATCCGAGACTTGTATCCATCATATCTTTCAATTCTCGTAGTTGAATTTGTATAGGGATGTCAAATACACTGAAGTATACACACTGGAGACTTGTATGTTACATTGATCTCATTACCTTGTATGAGATTACAATTGGAATTTCAACGTGATTGTATTATTTCCCTTGACGGTGTTTAAATACACGATGCTATACAATTTGAATTGTACCGATAAAGCTACGTAACTAATTAGCTTAAGAAGCTCAAGCCTATCGCCTAACATGTGGCCTATGTAGTCGGATAAGATACAACAATAATTTAAAATGATTTGAATATACAACTAGTAAGTACAACAAATACGGATGAGATATGTTATGTGTGCGAGTCAGCCGGAATAATACGGAGAGCATGCATGTGCCATGCATGCGTACCATGCACCATGCATGTACGTTAACACCCCCCCGCAGTCAAAGCGGGAGGTGGCCGAATGCTGAGACTGGACCGGAATTCATCAAATAAGATACGAGGGAGCCCTTTTGTGAAAATGTCGGCAAATTGGTGACGGGACGGAACATGAAGAACACGTACTTCTCCGCGAGCAACTTTTTCCCGAACGAAATGTATATCCATTTCGATATGTTTGGTGCGATGGTGTTGAACAGGATTGCCAGACATGTAGACGGAACTGATGTTGTCACAATAAACCAGAGTAGCTTTTGGTAGTGGACAGTGAAGTTCTAAAAGAAGGTTTCTCAACCAACAAGTCTCCGCAACTACATTGGCGACACCCCGATATTCAGCTTCGGCACTTGAGCGGGAGAGAGTTGGTTGCCGTTTGGAGGACCATGAGAGAAGGTTGTCACCAAGATAGACACAATAGCCAGAGGTAGAACGTCGTGTGTCCGGGCAGCCACCCCAATCAGCGTCGGAGTAAGAGATCAAGCTAGAGATGGAGGACGGCCGTAGATGTAGACCGAAATGGAGGGTACCTTTAATATAGCGAAGAATCCGCTTGAGTGCATGTAGATGAGGAGCTCGTGGGTCATGCATGAAGAGACATACTTGCTGAACGGCATAGGATATATCCGGGCGAGTAAAGGTGAGATATTGTAGTGCTCCGGCAAGACTACGGTATAGAGTTGGGTCGTCAACCGGAGGGCCGGCAGTAGCACTAAGCTTGGAGTTTGTGTCGACTGAAGTGGCTACGGGATTGCAATCAGAAAGTTGTGCCCGGGAGAGGATTTCACTAGCATATTTTTGTTGATTTAGGAAAATACCATGAGGGTGACGTGTGACTGCTATGCCCAAAAAATAGCTGAGTGGACCGAGGTCCGTCATGGCAAACTCAGTAGCTAAAGTTTTAATAATAGAGATCCGAAGGTCATCTGATGAAGTGGTGAGGATGATGTCGTCGACATATAAGAGCAAGTACGCAGTTTCATTGTTGTGATGATAAGTAAACAGTGATGGATCACATATACTGTGGCCGAAACCAATGGTAGATAGAAATGATGAGAATCGATGATACCATGCCCGGGGTGCCTGTTTGAGGCCGTACAGTGACTTGAGAAGACGACATACATGGTGAGGTTTGGAGGGGTCACGGAAACCGGGAGGTTGATGCATGTATACGGTTTCTTCGAGGTGACCGTGGAGGAAGGCATTTTTGACGTCAAGTTGATGAAGGGGCCATGAGTGGTGTAGTGCAATTGACAAGACCGTGCGGATAGTGGCCGGTTTTACGACCGGACTGAATGTTTCTTCACAGTCAATGCCGAGTTGTTGAGATTTGCCGTTAACCACGAGACGGGCTTTGTGACGTTCCAGTGCTCCATCAGACCTATATTTGTGTTTAAAAAGCCAAAGGCAACGGATAATATTGACGTTAGGGGGGCGGGGAACCAACTCCCACGTCCTATTTTTAATAAGAGCACCAAATTCGTCTTGCATGGCGGACAGCCAGTTTGGGTCACGTAGCGCAAGAATTGGGGATTTGGGTATAGGTGACGGGTTTTTTGACGTCTGGGATAAGAGGGATAGAGGAATTTTGGGTTTGAAGATTCCAACCTTGCTACGTGTGAGCATGGGGTGGGTAGGAAGTATGGGAGGTGGTGACGTGCGTGATGATGAACTGGGTGGGGAGCTAGGTGGGGAGTTATTCGGTGGTGTGGGGCCTGGAGAGGGAATAAAATGGTGACAAGAAGGTGAAGGTGGAGTAGCTGGAGACTCATGGTGTGGGGGCTGAGTATTGGGATTGTTCCCGAGATGGGATAAGATAAAGGGAGGTATGGGATGATGGTTTTGGAAATTATTAGTATGTGGTAGGGACGGTTTGTCGGCTAGATATTTGTAGGGAAAGTAGTGTTCATTGAACGTAACATGACGGGATAAAATGAGTTTACCCGTTTGTGGGTTAAGGCAAATATACCCTTTATGATGTGTAGGAAATCCAAGAAAGATGCAAGGATAGGATCGAGCATCTAACTTATGAATGGTAGAAGGGGGTTGATTTGGGAAACACAAGCAACCGAAAGCTCGTAGATGTTCGTAAGTTGGTGTTTTGTGGTATAAGATATGTGTAGGGGATAGATTGGAGAGGGTTGGTGTAGGAAGAATATTGTGTATATAGGTGGCCATTTGGACGGCGTGAGGCCAGAATTTGGGCGGAAGAGATGCTTGTAAGAGTAGGGTACGAGCCGTATTATTTATAGTACGGATGATGCGTTCCGCTTTCCCGTTTTGAGGAGATGTATAGGGACAGGAAAAACGGAAATGCAAGCCATTTTGTGTAGCAAGATCGGCCAGACGATCCCATGCTGCTTTGGCTGTAGAGTCCGGCTCGAGAATGGTGTGCAAAAGATCATGGGAAATAGTCCCATAAATCCATTGTAACACCATGGCATCGAGTCGTTTCCATAGTGCATCAGATTCAGCTTTGGCGGCGGCGGCAAGAACTTGCTCCGGGGTGAGTTCTGGGGGTGGTGTGGTGGAAGTGGAGGCAGCCGAGGTAGTTGTTTCAACTGGGAAGATGTGATCTTCAACCTGGTAGGCACGGGTTGTGATCTTAAAAAGTTCGGTCCATGATGAGTATTCCACGTTCTCGAGATCGAGTGTAATAGGAATAAAACTTTTTATATTTGTGAGAGCGAGAGCGGGATGAAAGGAAGGAGATTTGGCGGAAGCCATGGGAGGAGGAAGAAAAGATCTTGCGTCTGATACCAAATTGGAATTTCAACGTGATTGTATTATTTCCCTTGACGGTGTTTAAATACACGATGCTATACAATTTGAATTGTACCGATAAAGCTACGTAACTAATTAGCTTAAGAAGCTCAAGCCTATCGCCTAACATGTGGCCTATGTAGTCGGATAAGATACAACAATAATTTAAAATGATTTGAATATACAACTAGTAAGTACAACAAATACGGATGAGATATGTTATGTGTGCGAGTCAGCCGGAATAATACGGAGAGCATGCATGTGCCATGCATGCGTACCATGCACCATGCATGTACGTTAACAATTACAATGATCTGGTAATGACGGCCTGAAAACATGAGACTCCGATGTCGTATTCAAAATACAATTCAGGCTTAATGTGTAAATATTCAATATACGTACTAGATGGTGTTTTGCATTACTAATGTCTAACTTTTGGAAAGTAAGCCTGAAAATATCATTTAGTTCCCATTATACCGTTGTCCATATTCGGTATATTACACTTAAATCATGGACAGTTAATACACATACAAAACAAAACTGAATTTTAGACGTAATTTGAATTAAGTCATAATATGAATTACGTAATGCTCCGAGTTGATCAAACATTTTGAAAATGCGTATTAATATGATAAAATATCGACCGATACTATCAACCAAATAGTTTTAGAGAATCGCATGTATGAGTCCACTCATTTTGAATGGGTAAGCAAATGACTTCTCGGAATATCCGTAACATGTGTTTGAAGATTTAAGTCTATTGTAACAATAATAAATGAAAGATTGACAAGTCATATAATTGTCAATTTAACGAAAACCCGAATTCAACTAATCGAATATTATGTCTTGAGTCGCATCAATTATTAAGTCAATCCCATGTCTCTTTATTTTAACAGTTTGTAAGACATTAATACTTGGTGTAAATTTTAGTCATATGACTTGTCATATACAAAATGAGTAATTGAAACAGTAATGTTGTTTTAGTGAGACTTTATACAACATAGTCTCCATTGTAATACAATAGAGTATTATTTAGGAAAGTGGGAACTCACCCATTGCCTAGATGGGTATACAGTCGATTAACACATAATCCGTTAATGATCAAACCGACATATATTGGCATGAACTATTAAAATAAAAAAGTATTCACTATTGAAGAGTACTATAGTATCCATACTATAGTCACTATAGATGTGATTAATACTAGATCTATGATATCCATTACTATAGTCACAATGAGTTCCCTATGCAAAAATACACAATACATGATTGAATCAACTTTAGTGATTTTATTCCATTGGAGACATACTCTAAGTCCGATTATATAAACTTACAAACTTATGTAAGTTTATATACATAGTACCGAAGGACTACTCTTAAATTGATCAACTAATTGGATACGACATCATCCATAGATATGAGAACAATTTTTCGACTAAAAATACATATCAAACTACGTATCCCAAGTTGATCTCAATGGAGTTTAAGCCCGAAGTAAATTGAAATTACCCGATACCAAATTGACTTGTGATAGGATAAACTCGTGTAGTGATTGTTTTGTCATGAATTTAGCCCCCTAAATTCATGACATTTCGTGAGGAATCTTCGTTTACACTGTTGGGCCACTAAAATCAATAAATGGATGACGTGGCACAAAGAAATATAAAGTAGTGGGGGAAGGCTAATAGATAATGATACAAGGTATGATTAAAGAAAGGATATGCACGATCAGTTCAACTAGCGGCAAAATAGATGGGATAGTGGGAAGAATCCAACTGACAGATAAAGGCTAGGAAGCTGGAGACAAATTGGCCGGGCAGTTAAGCCACTTACGTAGAGTAGAGTTTTAATATAAATATAGCTCAATTCATAAGGAAAAGGCGAGGATCATTTTAGATCAATTCTTCTTTTTGCTATTGTACTCAAGCCCATAAACTTGCTAATTACAATACATACTGCTCTCGTTTCATCATTAGAAAAACTTTCATTTGGCTTTATTAATTTTAGCTCCATTAATTCTTGCACGTTCCCTACTCAAATTAGATTGTATTTAGCTTGTCAATAAATTGCTTAAACAATTTGGCGCCCACCGTGGGGCATCGTGCAAGAAAAAGATCACATATGGAAGGAGCAAATCAATTGTTGATTGAATTCCATGAGCAATTAGAGACGGTCCGAGATGAAATCCGGCGCGAGATGGCGGAGAAGATGGCTCATCTCCAACAGGAAAATGATGTACTTCGGTCCCAGGTACAGTCTGCGGTGTCAATAGCCTCAAAGTCAAAGCTCAACCGGAGGAGTGACACAATGACTGCCGTAACACGACTGGATCTTTGTTTCTCCCCAGCTGTGACGGATCCACCCGCAACATCGACGGATCCACCAGCATCATCGACGGATCCAGTCTCTCTTACATTGGGTCTGTCACCGACACCGACTGGGGAGCCATGCTCAACGGTAATCTCGCAAGTCATTCCGTATACGCCACTCTTGCCAACGACGACACCACCAGCCAACATACCGGTTTGTTTCTTCCCGGAATCTCTTCGGGTCAGGGCAAACGGATCAGGCTTGCAAGCAGCAACTCAAAGCCTGCCGACGACGACTCTGTACTCCACCATGACGGAACCGTCAATCCCACATTACAGGAGCAGGAATGGTGCAGAAGCCGGCCCATCAAGTTTCATACAGTACGCCAGACGGAATGAGCCTAGTGTATCATTTCTAGAGCCTCTGACGGAACGCTTTGGCAGACCTGTCACGACATCAGCGTCGACGCTTCCAGAGCGACGCCCCGAAGTGAATTTCATCCCGTCACCAACCCGTCCTGAAGTCACCCAGATAGTAGGACCAACGTCTTCTATCCCAATACCAATCCACCCAGCCGTAGCAGATCAGATGTCCATGTTGATGGAGCAAGTGCGTCAGATGTAGGACAAACTCAACGGATTACCAGGGGTACCCACGCCCTTGGACAGAGCGTCACGAACATGTTATGAAGATTCACCTTTTGACGATTCGATCATTCGTGTCCAACTACCGAATAAATTTGACGTACCAACCATGGAGCCATTTGACGGAACCACGGATCCTGGAGAACATGTCGCGCGGTATAAGCAAGTGATGTCGACCGTCTCCGTTAGACCTGAACAGAGAGAGGCATGCATGTGTCAGGGATTCGGCATGACATTGACTGGTCCCGCTTTGACATGGTTCGTCAATCTTCCGAATGGAAGCGTCGGTTCGTTTGCCGAACTCGTCAATCTTTTCAATCGACAGTTCGCAAGTAGCAAGGTATTGAAAAGACGAACCAGTGACTTATATCAAGTCACACAGAGGCATGGTGAATCACTTAGAGATTATTTGCACAGATTCAACATAAGGAAGGTGTCGATCCAAAAATGTGACGTTTCTACCGTCATTGAAGCATTCAGAAGAGGTTTGTATGGAGATTCAGAGCTATACCGAGAACTGACGAAATACCCTTGTCGATCCTTCGAAGAGGTCCAAGCAAAGGCGTTGGCTTTCATCCGTCTAGAAGAAGACTTACGATCCCGTCTTGGACATGTTGAGCATGAATGGGGGCACGGGAAATCAGAATCTCATAGGAGGCACGATTACAAGTCTGGGAAACCTTATTCAAGACCCGAGGAACGAGTCGTCATTCCATGACGAGATGAACAAGACAAAGTGGTTGATATCTCGGACGGGGGGCACATCGTCCGATGATAGACAGATTCTAAAGAGCTGCAATACGGTACCCTTAAAAGTTGTTTCATTTTTAGTTTGTTACTTTCTTTCGCATATTGTCATCAATTCCGTGACGAGTCATTTCTGTGACGGATCGCTTTCGTTACGAATCATTTTGATGATGAATCACTTTGGTGACGAATCACTTTCTTGACGAGTCACTTCCGTGACGAATCACTTTCGTGACGAGTCACTTCAGCGACGAGTCACTTCCGTGACGAGTCCTTTCCGTGACGAGTCACTTTCGTGATAAGTGACGAAATGATTGAAATCGTCAGACGGGGGGCATATCGTCCTACGGTAGACATGTTATGGTGATAACTTATCTAGATTGGTATACATATTCTTAATCTATTATTTTCATTTATCTATAAACGATCACTTACTTAATCATCGGAGGGCCGTTGGCTTAAGGCCAACGACCAACCCTAACAACGTTTTGAGTACAGAAAACCAAACGAGACGCCAAGTTTATTGAAGCACCATCAGTAAGTTACTTTAATACGTCACAGGTCCTTGTAAGTTCATTTAGAAAACAATGACGTATCGAGTACGACGAATCTGTTAAAGCGTCATGTTCAATTTGTGCATTTCCTTTGAATTATTTTTTGTGCATGTTTTAATCTCAGTAACTTATCTCATTTCTAAGCTTGAGTTCAATAAATTTTGGATCCTTTATGGAAACATTATGTGGTCATCTTGTTCATAGAAAGTTGTGACGTATTCGGTGTAGAGAATACATTTCTGCTTCAAGATATATTCATTGCTTTTACTGACTTAATCATCAGAGGGCCGTTGGCCCAAAGCCAACGGCCAGCTTCGACGGTTTTTAATGGATGCAGGACTATCTCGAAGCACAAGATCAAGCAGTTACCGAGGCAACTAAGATTTCAACCATGCTCATGCCAGTTACATATTATACACTAACATCAAATGGGAAAGGGCTGGGCTGCCCATGAGAAGATCATGGATAACAGTCCCAGCCGGCCCTTACAACATATATATTTTTTGGCCAAAACCTACACACGTATATGACGACGCACGTGCAACCAAAACATATATGACAACGCACGTGCAACCAAAACATATATGACAACGCACGTGCAATCAAAACATATATGACAACACGCGTACAACAAAAATATAGAACTACACAACATAAGCACATGCTCCCACATAAGGAGATAGTGCAAACGACAAACGTAACGCTATTTAAAGTTTTTGCAGGATATGGACCAAGTTCGCACAACCCATCTCGTCATCTTCAATGACGGATGCTGTTTCCTTAGTCAACTGAAGTGACAACATCAACTTGGATGAAGTTTCATCTCGTCAGCACTGACTAGTTATGATTCATTAGCACAATTTGGAGGAAGAGAGTATGAGATCAGCCTTCATTCCTCGTCGCTTCAGTCAAAGAGACGGGTTCGATCAAAAATTACTTGTAAGGAAAGTGACAAGTTGACGGAAGCGTCTTATCTGAAGATTGACGGGTTGACAAAAGTATCTCACCAGATGAGTGACAGGTTGATAGAAGCGTCTCCTCATACAAATGACGAGTTGACGGAAGTCGTCTCTTCAGACGAGCGACGAGTTGAAGGAAGCATCTCGCCAGATAAATGACGGATCGATAGAAACGTCTTGTCATTCGAGTGACGGGTTGACAACATGATTTGTCAGATTGATGACGAGTTGATATGTGCAATAATCAAAGATGACAGATGTAGGTCCTTCCAAGATTTCGAAAAGTTGATGCTTAACGGCTTGACATGCGCACCCATTCGCTTCAACTTCTCGAAAGGGGGCAATTGTTGGGCCACTAAAATCAATAAATGGATGACGTGGCACAAAGAAATATAAAGTAGTGGGGGAAGGCTAATAGATAATGATACAAGGTATGATTAAAGAAAGGATATGCACGATCAGTTCAACTAGCGGCAAAATAGATGGGATAGTGGGAAGAATCCAACTGACAGATAAAGGCTAGGAAGCTGGAGACAAATTGGCCGGGCAGTTAAGCCACTTACGTAGAGTAGAGTTTTAATATAAATATAGCTCAATTCATAAGGAAAAGGTGAGGATCATTTTAGATCAATTCTTCTTTTTGCTGTTGTACTCAAGCCCATAAACTTGCTAATTACAATACATACTGCTCTCGTTTCATCATTAGAAAAACTTTCATTTGGCTTTATTAATTTTAGCTCCATTAATTCTTGCACGTTCCCTACTCAAATTAGATTGTATTTAGCTTGTCAATAAATTGCTTAAACATACACCAAGACTCGATTTCTATGAAAATTGATTCACCCTATCACACAGGGTGAATCTAAACTGAACGACTATACAACTTGCATTGCAACGAATATGTGGTGAACGAGCATATTAATTGGGATAAGTTGTAGAATGTTTAACATTGAACAATCACGTATTTTGTATCTTTCAACTTCAATTTGAAATCGATAGTCCAAATTATGACTTGTATTAAACACAATCCTCTAGTCTTAGATTTTGTAAACCAATGGACTATAGTCTGATAATGGATGTTTTTTTCAAATCAACTTGATTCTGGAACAATGGGAACTCTCGAGGTATCCCATGGCTTAAATGACATAGAGTCATACTTCCCAATAGTTTTGTGACAATCGGATGTTATTCAAATCATAAACAACTAGTATGATTTTAATGTTGTTTTCCAGGATATCATATGTCGTATTTATATCATTAATCCTAAATGTATGATTTTACTGGTTATATTGACTGTTTTGTACAAGTAATAATTGTGTCGGAAAGAATAGATGTAGGATAAACTATATAGAAGACTTGGACTATCGAGTTTTGCAATGTATTTCCAATATCAAACTACTAGTATTGTTTAAACAGTATGGGACTAATACCCACAGTGACATATTTGTGTCTCAGGTAAATCATATTCAAACACGACTTCTGATATCGGTATAGACTTTATGTACTCGTAATAGTATCTACATTGATAACATTTGGTTTTAACTACAATATTTTCAAACATATAATTATACCATACTGTGTATGGTATATAAATTTCATGATGATTATATAGGAGGTATTGGTCCTACCAATGCTTCCCTTCCATTTTATTATTGACTTGCACCCCATGTTTACTTCCACTTTGATACCCTTGTTTGAATCTTTCCTAACTAATAATATGGCTATTGCCTTATGTGGAGTAACCCCATCTTGAGTTGTCTGCTGCAGTCTTTCCTTGTCTTTGCATCACCCGTGAGTGTCCTCTTGTTGACCAGTCTATTATTTATGTAGCTTTCTTCTTCCTTGAGAGAGCAGCCTGCGTGAGATATTCTGAGAGTAGTGAGCAGTGCTCTACCCCTTCTCCTTCCTTTGTGTGAGAGTTGAGAGAGGTACTTAGTGGTTGGAGAGAAAACATGGTGAGTTGTGTTGTGGTCTAGCCTAGAGTGGTGTGTGTGAGTCTAGTTAAAGGGTTGGAGACCTGAGCCGGAAGACGAATCGATCCCCAACAGTGGTATCAGAGCCGGTTCCGCCATCTGCCGCCGTCCGGCGCCACCGTCCGCCGCCACCGCCATCCACCATACGTCGTCAATTAGAGCTCACTGGACGCCTGCGAAGCACCCCACCTGTGGCCGTTCGTCGCTGAAGACGTGAGTTGTTGCCGTCTGGAAGTTATCAAAGCTTGAAATTGCAGCTGGATACTCCCTGAATCAACTGCAGAGCAATTGACACTGAAGCTGCCGCTTGTCACAAACCGTCCCTCGTCCGCCAGCGATCTTTGTTGTTCGCAGAAGGCCTGGAGCGGGTATCGCAGGGACGAAGGATATCGTTGCTAAAGGAACGCTGGAGCTTGAGCTTGACAGAGGGTTCGGGCTACGCACTACTGGACTGCTGCATTTGGGCTGCACCTGAACGCTAGGACTGTACGCTGATTGCTGCGAAGCTGGATGTGGTCATTGGCCTGAACCTGCGCAATCGTTGGAGCTTGTAACAGGAGCTGAATTTGGAGTTGAGCTGAACGTTGGGCTGGATTTTGGGCTGCTCAAATTGCTTAACTAGAGTCTGGACGGGAATGTGAAGCTAGATTTAACTTGGAGCTTGAAGCTTTGGGCTGGACCTGTTGCTGGACGAATAGCTAGAATTTGCTGAACCAAGGAATCTGCTCCACTGGAGGCAGAGAGCTGGTCAACTGGTCAACCATTAGTCAACGCCAGTCAACATTCAGTCAACACTACGAAAAATCCCAATTTTAATTGGGTGGGTAAGGTCGAAACGCCTCTCCTAGGGTTTCGCTCCGTTATATTGACTTTTATCCCTTTTATCGCTTTTGTAGTGATTTAATCTTTTATTGTGTAGAAATCCTGTTTTAGGTTTATTACTGCTTTAAATTGATAGAATTGTTGTATTGTGTTGTGCTGAAAATTTATTATTTATTTGTGCTTATACGGAAGAACAAGGGGTTTGAAGTTGAGTTTAGTGCTCGTTAATACTCCCCGCATGTTCGTGCTAGTTGCTTCGTATATTGATAGCCTTATAAATATTTAAATCTTTTTTCAGCAAAATTTACATTTTCTTTTGTTGCTCTTTTTTCTTTGTGAAAATGTCTGCTTATAATCAGTATGGTATGGCTCCATTTAATGGAAAATCTGATTTTAGCATTTGGAAGCAAAAAAATTAAATGTATTTTAATACAACAAAAATGTTTTAAAGCAGCTGTCGAAACTTATTTGATTTCTGACACAGAAGATAAAAGGGCTGAAATGAATGAAAATGCATGTTCTATGATTTATTTGAACTTATCTGACTCTGTGATAGAAAAGTTGGAATTTTAGAGAGTACTAAAATTCTGTGGGATAAATTGAATGAACTGTGTACTGAAACCTCTTTGCCTAACCAAATGTTTTTACTTGAAAAGTTCTTCAAATTTAGACTAGATATGTCTATGGATATTGAAGAAAATCTAGATGTTTTTACCAAACTTATTTCGGATATTAAGTTGTGTGGTGATAAGCATATAGATGATTATTCTCCTATTGCTCTTTTAAATGCTATTCCTGATTCCTTTGGTGATGTGAAATATGCTATTAATTATGGTAGAGATAATGTGACTCTTGACATTGTGATAAATGGTCTTAAGAGTAAGGAATTAGATTTAAAACAAATGGGTGAGGGTAGAAAATTTGAGGAAGTTATGCATGTGAGGGGTAGAGAAAATAATAGTAGACGACATAGATCTAAGTCTAGGTCTAATTCGAGGTGTTGCTATTATTGTCATGAATCTGGTCATTTCATAAGAGACTGTCCTAAATCTAGGAAAAATGAGCATAGTGAGCATGCTAATTTGACTACGTGTGAAGATGATTTAGGTGATGTTTTTATGACAAATCTATGTGATTATGACTACTCGAGTTCTGTGATATCTGATTCTTTGGGTAAATCAGATTGGGTGGTAGATTTTGGTTGTACTTTTCATATGTCCCCTTTGAAAAATGTTTTTTCAAACTATAGAGAGATTGAGCATGGCTTTGTGTCTAGCAAATGAGAAGAAATGCAATGTGCTAGGAATAGGAGATGTATGCCTTAAGTTCTCTTCTAGTTATGTGCTTACTTTGAAGAATGTTAGGCATGTTCCTGAGCTGTGCTGTAATTTGCTATCTTGTGCTTCTCTTGAAAATGAGGGTTTGAAAGAAAAATGGGGAAAGGGAATCATGAAAGTTGTGAAGGGTTGCTTTTGAGTTGTTTTCAAAGCTGAGATGAAAAACAACTTGTATGTGTGTCATGCTGAACCTGTTCTTGATTCTATGAATTGTGTGCAATCCTGTGTGCTAGGAAAACAGTCTAGAGTTGGTTTTCCTGATCTGCCTAAGTGTACTAATGTGCTTGATTGTATTCATGTTGATGTGTGTGGTCCTTATAGTGTTTCCACTAATGGTGGGAAAAATTATTTTCTGACGTTGATTGATGATTTTTCAAAGAAAGTGTGGGTTTTGTTGATTGAGAATAAATCTGAAGTTTTTGATAAGTTTAAAAACTGGAAAACCCTTGTTGAAAAACAAACCGGTAAGAAAATTAATTTTTTAAAGACCACTGTCAGTTTTGATTTATGTGATAATCAGCATGGTGATTTATGTGATACTTGGGATATTTCTATGCATAAATCTGTTCCTTCGACACCCCAACCGGATGGGGTTGCTGAGAGGATGGTTAGAACTTTATTAGAGAGAGTGAGGGCTATGTTAGCTTCATCTGGGTTCTCTAATAAGTTCTGGGGGGAAGCTATTTGTTATGCTGTTGATTTGGTTAATCTGTCCCCGTCTGTTCCCTTAGGAGGGAAATGCCCTGAATCTGTGTTCACGGGCAAACCACTTAACTTGCCAAATTTGAGAGTGTTTGGTTGTGCTGCTTATGTGAATCGTGTGAATGGTAAATTTGAACCCAGGTCTAAGGAATATGTTTTCTTAGAATATCATGAATGCATGAAAGGTTATAGGCTTTGGTGTAGGAGTGAAACTTGCTTTAATGTGTTGATGAGTAGAAATGTCATTTTTGTTGAAAATGAATTTCCTTGCCTGCTTGTTTTTCCTGATGTTGCTCCAAATGAGGTGGAGCATTTGCCTGTTGAAGTTCATTCTGATTTGCTTGTTGAAACCAAACCCAAATTTGTGAATGAAAATGATTTTCATGTTGAAAATAAAGAGAATAATATTTCTATTAAGGTGGAGCATGATATGAATGTTATGTGCAATATGCTTGAGTTGCGTGATTTCCATGATATTAGAGATAGAGACATTAGGGAGCATGAGAGAAATAATCGGTGCAATGTGTTTGACTATATTTCCTTTGAGTTTGCTTTAAATGTGCTTAATTCTCTGTTAATTAAAATCTTTGTGATATTTGGTATGCTATTTTCTTTGTGTTTTGAAAATGTGATACCAAGTGATTATGTGAGCTCCGCCTGTGCTAGTTATAGAAATAATATTGTTTCTTTTATTTTCTGTGTACTTGCTTTGTGTGGTTGTTGGATTAGTTGGAATCCCCAACTTCTCCCGGATGCTTGCTTGTGTGGTCTATTAACATGTGTTGTGCTTGTTAATAGTTTTGTGACGGTTTTGGTTCTGAACTCGAGGACCGATTGGTAGAGTTCAGTCCATCGTGAATTGGGTTTGCATGGTAAGCTTGGTCCGAAAGGGAACTTTGGTTCTCATCTATTACTTGTATGATCGCAATGATGTACTTGTAATATAATGGTCCGGCGATGATGAGTCTCCTCACAACTTTGTATTGCTACTCTACACCACTTAGGAC